GCAGGCTGGGGTGACCAAACACCAAGGGTCGGGGATCTTCCTGAGTCACCAGGGTTCTTGCTAAAACAGAACTCAAGGCCAGGGCCTAGTCAGAAAGAGGACTTGGAGCAGCATGACTCGTTTGTTTTTTTCTTTTTATTTATTTTATTTTAGGACATTCCTTCCTGTCGTAATGACTTGAGTTTGGTCAAGGAGAGGGTCTTTGTCACCCCTAACCACCTGGCTCTTTCATTTCTGCCGGCCTCGATTCAAGCTCCTTCCCCTTCCTTATTTTCCACTGCCAGCACCCATGCCTCCTCTGAAACTTTCTTGGGCCTTCCCTCCACGGGAATCCATCTTTTTCAGCTTGGGCCTGGGGAGATGTGTCCATGTCTCCTCCCCAAACCAGAAGCTCTTTGCAGGAGTGCTCCCCTACTTTCCCACAGGGCGTGGGCATGATCGCACCTCCAAGGAAAAGGTCTCCTGCGGATGTCCCTCTTATTTTTGCCGCTTCTAGTCCACCCCCTCCCCCTCCGTTGAAGGAGACTCAGAGTGTGAGTTGGTGGTCAACGTCCTTTGCCTTGGGAAGGCCCCTGGGTGTTCATACCCCTCCCCAGGGGCCTCCATCCTGGGCTCCGGTCGGCTTTCTCAAGGGAAGAGAGGCGACCTCCCTGAACGTTTCCGCCCCCCGCTTGCAGTTGCAATGAACTGCCTTCGCCGGGCTGAACACTGCTGGGGGCACAGAGATCTTCGGCGGCTCGATCACCCCCAAAGGACAGGCAGGAAGTGCCCACACCACGACTCCCTCCCTTCGCCCCTCCAAAAGGTAAAACCACTTGGGAAGGGCCGCCCTAAAAACACTCCTGAGCCCCCCGACCCATCGACGGAAACAAGCTCCCAATAACTGAGAGGGGCGGCGCGGTGCCTTTAAGAGGTGGCGGGCGGTGCTGCCCCCTGGCGGCCGCCCGCCGCGCCCCGCCCCTGCCCGCCCTCCCCGCAGGACTGCGCGCCCGGAGCCCCGTTCCGCGTCCCCGCCGCCGGGAGGAGGTGCCCGCACGCTCGCGGCGCGCGCCGGCCGCCAGACTCGGCCTGTGGGCGATTTCCTCCGGACCCAGGCTCCCGCCCGAGGAGGAAGATGCAGACCTTTCTGAAAGGGAAGAGGGTTGGCTACTGGCTGAGCGAGAAGAAAATCAAGAAGCTCAATTTCCAGGCCTTCGCCGAGCTGTGCAGGTAAGGAGGGACGCGGCTCTGGTGCCCGGGACCCCCGGCCTGAGCCGGGTCCAGCCTCAGCGGTTGTCTGAGGAGGTTAGATTAGAGCAAAACGGGAAGAAGGTGCGCGCGGGGAGACTGAGTCCGAGTGGCCAGGTGGCTGTGGGCCGCCGGCTGTGTTCGAGGGCAGCGGCGGCCAGTACGGCGATGAGGCTCGGACCGGGGCTCTCAGGTGCACTGGGACCCCGCTGGGCAGGCCCCCAGCCGCCCGGGGCGCGGTGGGAGCGCTGCTGAAGGTTGGCGGAGGGACCTGGGAAACCGGGGAATCCACGCTGTCGGCTAGGGGCTTGAGGGTACTTTTGGACCGGACTGTTTCTCTTCCTTCGTCCCCTTCCCTTTAGTGGAGAGGGGCACCAGCGTTTGTGGACCACCAACTGCGTGCCCCGCGTGTGCTTGGCTCTGGAAGCTGTCATTGCATAGCACCGGGCTAAGCCCAGCTGAAGCGAGTGGCAATACTTGGCATGTATGTGGTGATTTGCTGTCTCATTAGAGCCTCACAGCAGCCTTGCAAATTGGCCAGGGTGGTGATTCTGGGCCACGTGTCTGAGAAAAGGGGCTCATCAGCAGAGGGATAGGGTCCCACGGTTAGGGAGTGGCTGGTGCATCCAAGGTGCTGGGGAAGTGAATGCCTGTGGGGTAGAATGGCCTTGCACCATCCAGGCTGTGCGACCCCCTCCCACCATGCTGGTGCTCATGGTGGATCTCTGGTGTTTAAGGGATCATATTCTTAATAAATTACAGAAGTACTGAGTCTTGGGTCAGGTAGGCCTTGCCTGGCTCCACAGCTGTGGCTTTGCTTCTGAGAAGCTGTTAGTTAAGTCCAGTTCTCAGCCTAAGACAATCCAGCTCCAGAAGCCTTTTGCAAACTCTGGGTGGAAACCTTTTGTGATGCAGTGTCTCTGCTTGGTAGATTGGACTTTTGAAAATGGGCCCTACTTGCATTTTAGTCCCCAGACATCTCAGAGAATTGAATAGTTGCGTTTCTTTATTCCCAGGTGTGCCCGGGGCCGGGGGCCAGTCTGAGCTGGCATGTGCAGGTGAGCCTGGTGGCACCTCTGTGTGCCTCATGCCTGTCCCAAGGGCCTACTGCTCCTTTGCCCCATGCAAGCCCCGCAGGCGCTCTTCTCCTTGCAGCTGCAGGGGCTCAGCTTGCTTATTTTATAATAGCTCCTGGTTCTGAGTCGCCTGGTCTGGGGATGTGGTAGGCAGTCTTCTCCCAGGCCGGCATCCCTAGGAGAAAGCAAGCTTTTCATAGTAGGGAATGCAGAGTGGCACCTGGAATTCACAAGGAAATCAGGAGGGACTCGAAGCTAGAGTTTTGAAAATAGGTCCTAGGGCTTTGGAACATTACAGAAGGATACTTGAACATTGCACCGTGGATACACACACCTGTGGAAAGGGCACCCTAGACACTGAAGAAATTTAGAGAAGCCCGTTTGGCATGTTCTCGAAGTCCAGTGATGACGGGAGGCACCAGAGCTCCCCCTGCAGTCATATAAGACTTGGGAAATCCCAGTTAATGCCTTGCACACTTTTTACTGCTGTCTCTGTGTATTTTTGTCATCCTGTGTCTACAACTAAAGCTTGGGGCTTGTCATTGGGTTGGTATGTTTTAGTTGGTAATTAGGCAGCTCTAGCAAAACATTCCTTGCCGAGATGCACAAGTAGGTCTGGTCCTCAGGCCGGACCTGCAGATTGGCTTGCTCTGTGGACCCCCTGCCTTTAAAGGGGTGGGAGGTTCAGGGAAAGCTATGTTGTCAACCCTTCTGGGGAAAATCAGGAGTGTAGCATTAATTTCTCTGAAAGGGTGGTTGTGTTAAAAGTCTAGTTGCCTTCTTTTGGCCAAAATATTGGCTTCAAACAGAAGGCAAAAGACCATCCTCGAACCCCAGGAAACCCACTTTGTGTTTTCATTAGGAAAGCTTTAGGTGTTTTGTCACTTGAGTTTAAGAAGGAAAAGAAAACACCAAAAAGAGTTTTTCTGTTTCTTCTATAATACTTTCAGGGCAGTGCCCCCTGGTGGCCACATTTCTATACTGGCTGCAAAACGCTTTAGCTGTTGAGCTGGTGTCCAGAGTGCCCTTTGCTGTCGTTTTGCTTGGTGTGAATGCCAGTGTGATCTTAGTGGCACGAGAGACAGTGTGAATGGCCATTGTCATGTTGGAGTGCAAGGCTTCTGTATTGATAGATGATGAATTGTCTATGAGTTCCCCAATGAAAAAGTCCAGAAATGTTTGCAAACGACTCGAGGCTCTGCTCTGAATGTTTGGGCTAGTGTCAGAGGATGACCTGAATGGTCCAGTCTGGGATGAGTTGTTTAGTTGAATGTCAGGCTTCATAAAAATCTTAGAGCAGGAAGAGATGTTGGAGATCATCTCATCCAGCCCCTTTGTTTTACAGATGGGGAAACAGGCATAAGAGGGGGCAGGTTCCATACTGTTGCTCTTTTCCTTTAACTTCTAGAATGGGTCCAACCTAGCGACCTCGAGATTTGCTCTGACAAAGCTTTTCTCCTTGGGCACGTCTAACAATAAGGTGGACCCACTCATTATCTTCCCAGGGGTCCAGCTGCTGCTGGTCCAGCTGTTGAATCCCCAGGGACACTTTCCTTGCGAGGCCGAGTCCCTCTGCAAGTGCGACGCCTTGTTCTCTGAGGGGGCAGTGCACGTCCACGGCAACAGCAGGTGCTTGGAGCCAAGTCCTGGGAAGGGCCCCACCTACCTTAGGTAGGCACAAGGGCCAGCCTTTTCGAACTCTTGAGCTCAAACAATCCGCCCGCCTCGGCCTCCCAGAGTGCTAGGATTACAGGCGTGAGCCACCGCGCCCGGCCGGCTGAGGGGCCAGCCTTTTCAAATGAGTGCCCTGATGGGATGGGGCCTCCAGCTAGCCGACTGAGGGGCCTTCGAATCAGCGTGTGTTTTCAGTGTACTGTTTGTTCCTGGTGCTGTCCTCTGTTTCTTCCCCTCCGCGGGGACGTGGCTCTGGTTGTGTTCTCTTCCACCCTTCTCACCTCCCTTCCCTTCCCAACCCAGGAGCAGCCTTGCAACTCCCTCACACCCCCTCCTTGTGGCTTTTTCAAGATTCCCGGAGGGGCTTCAGAGGGGGAGTGTAGAAATACAGGTGTTAGTTGGAAATACTAGGTGATTTTAATTTAATTTTTAATTTTTTTTAGTTCTCCACAGTGCCCTGTTGGGGAATGCTGGCTGGGCTGGGCTCCCTTCATTTGTGTTTTCTGTGCATCTCCTCCAACTCCTTCTCTCCTTCCCCTTCTTTTCTGTGGCTGAACCTACGTCGCAGGAGGTGCTGAAAGAGGCACATGACTTCACGAAGCCTTTTGGTATGAAATGTGGATGGACCTCATCTGTCTTTACTGCAGTGATAGCTGATTTTTAATGAAGTGCTTCCAAGTACCTTGTCTCATTTAATCCTCCCAGCAACCCAGGGATGGAGGGACAGGGAAACTGAGGCTCAGGGAGTGTAAGGGACTTGCGCAGCCAGTTAAAGAGCTTCCCTGAGTCCAATCCCGAGGCCTCCACCAGAGAATGTGGCCTCCTTGTGTATTAAGTGTCTCTTCTTTGCCTGGGTTCGCCCGGCGTCTCCTGGAGGCCCCCAGAGCAAATGTCTGTGAAGTTCTCGTCTCTGAGAAACTGGGCTGCCAGCTGGCCGACTCGGCTTGCAGGAAACGCGCTTATGGAGCAGTGTCAGACCGCGGTGTCTCACCCGGACCCATTTGCAGGATTCCCTCACAAAGGACTGAGCAGTTCATTGATGTTCATGTTTACTGAGCAGCTTTTGGCGTCCAGGCCTGGTGATAGGTGATGGGTTGCGGTGCAGTGGGGCAGAGCCCCTGCCCTCATGGTGCTGAGTGTTTGGTGTCAACAGAAAACTGGCCCGGGAGGCATACCAGGGAAAGTGTAGGCTGGGGCTGGGCCTGTCCCTTCCCCTGGGGCCCTCCATTTCTTTCTTTAAAATAGGGCCATCTTCAAGGTCCCTTTCTGCTGGGAGGCTTAGCATTCTGGGCTGGAATTCTCTTGGGGGAGTGTGGGGGGAGTGGGGAGGAAGACCTTTACCAGGATTAAGTGATGCCCATCTGTGGATGGGTATTCTTTTGTTTGTTTTAATGTCTGGATTTGCCACCATTTTGGGCGTGCAGAGGTGGGAGGAGGTACTGACTTAGGTTTCCTTTGCAGCAGTGCACAGGGAATATCTACAACCCAGCCTTGCAAATAAACACTTTCTACCAGCCTCCTAGGGAGCAAACTGCACTTCAAGTGGGAGGAAACCTCGGTCTGGACACGAGTTGTCTATTGACGGGACTACTGCTGGTTTCAGGCCTGGCTCCACGCTGACTACCCATGTGACCTTGGGCACATTCCTTACCCTCTCTGGGCCTCACTTTCCTTGTCCGGACAGTGAGGGTGATAACAGTATTTAGCTCAGGGTTGTCCAGAGCATTAAATGAGTGAACTTGCTGGACAGGTGAAGTGCTTAGGATAGTGCCTGGAATTCCGTAAATGGTGGCGGTGGCTGCTGCTGTTGCTGTTGTCCCTGGGGGAGTGAGTGTGTGGGTGGGTGGGTCGGTCTCTGCCCACTGATGCCTCTGTCTTCAGGGACCTTTGGTGTTTCCAGATTTGGTGTTCTTGGTTTTGGCAGTTTGCAAGTGACCCTAAAGTCTGTGATGGGTGCTAACTGATCATCTTGCTGGGGTGCAGGTTTGTGGATTTGAAACTCAGGACGGCTGAGGAGGGGCCCTACCCTGCCTGGAGGCTGCCCAGCCATCACCGCAGGGCCCTGTTCTCCTTCAGCACGTGGCCCATCTGAATCTTGCAGCTCCTCCCTCCTGGGGGGGTTCTGTCCTCATCTGTTTTATGGATGGGGAAGCTGAGAAAATTATGTTAACGCAAGATGATACTTGCATTTTTTTAAGTTTGGAGATTGAGAAGAGTTTGTGCTGGCTTTCC